GTGGTGAACCGCCGCGACGGTTTTCTGCATTTTGGGGCGGTTATTATATTTCTGGTGGATTTATAAGTATTGGGGGCGGTTATTATGGGAGATTATGCGGTCCCATTACGGAACCATTCTGTCGGAATTGTAATCGTTAAATCAATTAATTACAAATCTTGACGGAATGATTCTGTAACGGGATTACCGCTTTTTCCGGTTATTATTATATATAGAAAACATTGAAGTTTGTAACATCATAACATCATCTCATCCAATTTCATTATTTACAAAAACGACATCGAACTGTACTGACACACAACTCTTGTTTCCAAATTTTTTGAAAATTCCATCCTACTAAATTACAATCTGCAGGCTCCCTTGTCTACAAAACCATATCCTCCTCTGCCCTTCTCTTTGGCAATAGCCATAATTGGATTAAAAAAAAAAAAAAACCCCATTTATATCCACACATAACTTTATACATCACAAATCACAAATTTAATTAAACAAAACAAAAAAAAAAAACACCCCAAATTTTGTAAAAAAATTTATTACCATTTTCCTTTCATCATACCTCCAGTACAGCTGTCCTCTGCCCCCGAATCTTGGCGCCCACCTCATCGACGACCAGCCTCGTCAGCAGCAGCCCTGCCACCAATGCCGCCCCCATCAGCATCGTGAAAACTGCGCTCCAGCTCCTTCCCGACACGTAACCAGTCAGCAGGGGGCCCACGGCTGCCCCAATCGAGCCCGTCCCGTCTATAATGGCCGTAACCGTGGCCATAGCCCGCGAGTTCCCTTTCAGGCAGCTGTGGGTCCCCAGGTCAGCCGATACAGCTGTCGTGATGAGTGCATACGGCCCGTTCACAAACACACCCGTTACTACCATGAGGGTTGCGTTCAGGCCCATCGACACGTGGCCGTGGCTCCTGTACAAGAAGAGAGCCGGGATTGTGCAGTAAGTGAAACTTGCAGCTGTTATGGCTCGGGCGTTTAGACGGTCAGAAATGTGGCCCGCGAGAATACCCCCGATTACCCCTCCCAAGTCGAATAGGGTCGATAGGTTCCCGGCCTCCTCGTTCGCCAAGTATCTACCATCGATTGCTGCCCCATATTCAAGAATGGGAAAAAAACAATGAGCTAAAAATGATATAGCTTTAAGTAAATGGGGCATACAATTGGGAAAAATGTCCGTAGAGAAAATTGCAATTTTTGTCTTTTATGTTTCACTACCTAACTTTTTTCGCCCCTTTCAAATTGTTGATTTGATTTTCATCATTTGTGTTTGAAAAAAGGTCACAAAAATTTTCGCCCCTTTCAAATTGTTGATTTGATTTTCATCATTTGTGTTTGCAAAAAGGTCACAAAAAGGTCTAGCATAAATAAAGAACAGAATTGCAACCTTTTTGCAAAGAACAGAGTTGCAACCTTTTTTGCAAATTGGAGGGAACCTTTTTGTTGTGAAAATGAAATTCTTTTAACCTTATTGCAAAGATAAGAGACAAAATTCAAAACAGCAATTCGAATGAGACTAAAGAGTTATAAATGCAATTTTCTCAAAAATCATATATACCGGTGTGGCTAATGTAGAATGGGAGCCAGTAGAGGAACGTGTAAGCCACCAATTTCGAGAAGAAAAGGCACAACGAAAACGAGGCGACTCCAGGTATCCTCCACGCCTCTAAAAACCCGACAGCGTCCATGTCATTCGACTTTGACCTCAAAAGAGACTTCTTTGGTGACGACATCGACAAATCATCTTCCTCGTCCAAGTCGGCTCCGACAAACTGAGGACTAACGGCCAAAAAAAGGAAGACCAATATCCCGACAAAGGCAATGCCAAGCCCGGGGACCACCATGGACCAACCCCACCCGTACTTCAACAAAAACGAAGCAACAACCGAGCCTATTATGTTTCCTATAGACGTGTGGGAATTCCAAATCCCCATAATGACCCCTCTCCTTCTCTTTCCGAACCAGTTCCCGACCACCGCTACCACCGAAGGCCACCCGGTGGACTGGAACAAGCCGGCCACCATCTGAACAATTAAATAATAGTAATACAAATGTACGTTTGCCCAATACCCGACCCCAAAAAGGGAAGTAAACAAACCGGTCCCGACCATCCCTATAGTGAGAAACACCCTAAGGTCCACTCGATCTCCCACGTGGCCCGAGAAGTACATTCCCACGGCGTACACGAATAGAAAGGCAACGTCTACCTCACCGAGAAGCGAGGTCCCATTGGGCCCGTTAAACGGGGCCCACCCAGCTCCGAGAATCCACGGGCGCGAAAAGACCCACGAGAAGGGGGATTTTAGGTCAACATTCGGGGATTGCGGGTCGAGGGCGCTCTTGACTATGCTGGTGGTTTTACGGGTGGCGTGATAGGTTAGGTAGGCGATAAAGGTGATGACTAGGACGATGGCTTGATGGGTTTTGTACGAGATTTTCGATTTCTTGATGTGTTCGGCAAACCGGATTCCGGGGGGTTTGTTTAGGTTTGATATTGCCGTGGATGGTTCTTCAGTAGAACCCATTTAGTTGGCTGCAACCTGCAAAAAACAGAGAAATTGGAGTGTAATTAGATGAGTCCATCAGTTAAAGCTATCAAAAACACGGTTTACAACTATTAAGGCTATTAATTAGATCAAATAAATGGATGAGTCTAAATTTAGCTCAGCATAGAGTGGTTTAATTGAGTTTTCATCAGTTACAAGTCAAAGATTTATTCCCTCTGTATTCAAGGAATTTTCTCTGCTCACTGGCAGAGAAATTTTTTTTCAACCAGAATATCTCGTCACGCAAAACACACGAAATTAATTAGAGGCATATTCCGATGATCGGAAACCTTTTTTTAGGTTAATCTCATCGCCGGCGAGCATTTCTCTCCATAATTACTGATTAATTCGATCGTTCATCGACGCTCGTCGCAGAGCATTGAAGAACAGGTGAATTTTCCGCCACACGATTTAACCCAAAAA